TTTGACCTGAGAGTAACGGCTATCTACTTGGAAAATCACCGCCTCTATATATATATATATATATATATATATATATATATATATATATATAGGAGTTTAATCATGCAATAATACTCAAGCATATATATAGATTGTTGGGTTGCTAATATACAGTATCATCATAAGTGAAGGAACACGTTTCTTATATAATTCACCATTATATTTTTTCGTTTTTTATTAAACAGGAAAGCTGATGTCGCTATCATCTTTCAACACCTATTATTTTCTGTTGCTATCACTACCTCATATGGCACATACAGTAATGCTGTTCTCGATTTATTTGACTTGACATCAAAGCATCGCAGGCGTGCTTTACCTGTGTGTCCAGCCATATCCTCAAAATGTTCGCTTGTCGATCGCTTCTTTTTTTCTCTGCAGACTAGCAGACTCCATTATCATCTATCTCTCAACCAGCCTACGCTCATTACACTCGTCATCGTTCGGCCTGCCGTCTCCGTTGCCTTTCACAAGTAACTTTTGATTAGATATAAATATATACTATTAATTAGGTCATGTCTTGAACAGACGAAAATAATGTAGGCTTTGTTTTATCCGTTCTTTTTTTTAGGTCCATAATTATACAGGGAAGTAACACGAATTGATAAAAACTGCCGCCAATATTAGAATAATGTTGGGTAAATCCGGTTGAATTATTGAGGGCCATGGGTAGGGTAGATTGTCCGGCATAGGCGGTTATATGTAGTCTTAGTAATGTGTAAATGTGCAGGCGCTTTTTGCTATTTGTGTTGCCATTTAGAAGAGGAGCTATATGTGTATAAAAGCAGAGAACGCTGTAGCGTCTGCTTCTTGATGCTGTCAAACGAAATAAATTTTTCATAGTTTTCATTATTTTTCGTTATCAGTATCCCTTTTATGCTTATTAATTGTCACACTTCATTTCTTAGTTGTTTGTATTTTTTCCTACAATGTTTTTCCCGTTTCCTATAGATTTCCAAGCCGATAATATTATAATCGTAATCAATATAACGACTTCGTAACGTTTGACCTCGTCTAAGATTCCTCTATACCCTTCGCAGTTCAGTATATCACTATTTTCGTCCTCTCTAGCTCAGTTTCTCTCTTCCTCTTCAGCATGACAGAATATCATGTAGCAACACCCACTCCGACGCATACAGAATCATCCATTACTATCACCTACGTGAAACTTCCAATTCATCATGTCAACTCAATACATTACATATAATAGCTATTCGGAGAAACCATAACTTAGATTTGTATTTGTGTGAATTTGTAAATATATATATATATATATATATGATTTATTATTTCGGTATATAGCAACTTCAATTAGTCGTATCATATAGTTATTAGATACAATTTTCGTTTTAATTAAACATCACAGGAAACACAAAATAATTTTCGCTGTGTATAAGAACATGACAACAGCAAATATAAGTTTTTGTATTAATCATAATAAAGTCACAACTGTCCATATGTTCATATTAGATTCAAGTTAGGTATATCAAACGATAAACTCATCTAAAGTGCCAATCCTAATTCTATATGGATACAATCACAAATTCAATTTCTTAGATTTTGCAATTCATGTAGGAATAAAGTAACTGATACGGAAGAAGACACAAATGAAATTTGTTTTATTAGTAAATTGCTGGTGTGACTATACATATATTCGGATTTTCTCAACATTATGCTCATTACTGTACCTTATATTACCATCACACGTGCTAGTCCATTATCTACGAATGTCAAGCAATTTCAGCGATCCATCTGCTAAAATTCACACCTTATAGTTGTGCTTTTCAACATTTAGTTGACACACTCACTCATCCTGTCATTTTAATCTCGTCCATATTACGCTATTGCTGTATTTATTTAATCACTATTAGTTCAAACGAGCGTATGATGCGCAACCTATATAATAAAGTCAAGTAACAACTTCAGTTTGCTATCCAAAAACATGAGAACGTAAACAGATAAAAAATTGGCAGGATAAAAATTCGAATGTATTCTACCTCTAATATGGTCGTAAATCAAGTGCCTTTGTCGACCTGCATAGGCAGACTGACTAGTAGCCGCATTTTAATCATGTGACAAGATCAGAAAATCTAAACATGTGTTTGACTTTGTCGGTTCGAGAGATAGTCGATACGCCAATTATGGTCAGCCTCCATTCTAGTTGCAGCTGCCACCAAGCTCATTAGCCAGATGCTGCATTCAAACGAATCTATTGATACAAACAAAGTGTTACACTGATGTAACAAAATCATCGGACGAATCTTGGAAGTACGGTACACAAAAAAGACACACACTGAATATGTTTACGAGAACACAAATTCATTCACAGACTTACACAGCTGCTTACTCACTGATAAATGTTCCTCTTAGTATATTATATACATATGCCAGTTTCTCGTTACCATCCGTTCCGTAAGAACGACCGAGACAACGTATATTTTGTTCTACCTACATTTTGTTCTCTCATGACCTGTTTTTTCTTTTTTATTGAGTTTTGATTTTCCTTTTTAGAGATGCATTCACTATTGTCATTGGCAATGAAATAAGTGAATTCCGTTCTTATATATATCGCTCTGGGCTTTCTCCCTGGGTTCTCTACCCGCTTGTTTGTCTAATGTCAAAAGTATCGCGAGTTTGAAGAAACCTTCTTGAACGCTCCTATGCACATACAATTTTGCTAACAAATGAGCTCCTTTAGAGAATTCCAGAGTAATTCTTTGCCACCAGGAACAATGTTTTATTAGGAACCAAAGAATATATTTTATGCTTACTTGGCATTTACGTTCTGTTGAAAAACATGGCATACTTACCTGAACGCGGGCCCGACTTCCAGTCGGAATGGTTAGTAAATACATTAAGCCTTTGTGGAATCATGAGAATACGATTTCAGTTCGGGTCGCTGCTAATCACTAAAATAACGCTTAATGTGCTTTATGTACTGGACTTTAAAAAATGTGCATAAAACAATACACATAGTAATAATGGTAGTATGATTTAAGGAAAATTTCGCTTTCGACATTAATTACCATATTTACTCTATTGCTACCAGTCAATTTTACTATTTTCAAGTAGAAATGGGTTTACAAGAAACGTCGGTAGGTTTAATTTTAAATCAAATAAACCTTTTTATATGGATTTAGTATAATGTGAGGGGAAGTATGATGCCCATTTGCATTCAGCGCAGGAGTTCTTGGGTCAGATGGGTTAAACTGTAAACGCTGGTACAATGTGAAATTCTTCTCTCGAAAAAATTACGCAATGAGAACTGTATATTGTTTGAAAGCAGCATAAAGAGGCATTACAGAACTCAGCGTATTAGGGAATACAGAAGACAAGAAGCGAATATGTGCGTTTCAGATAGGTCGTACGCTACAGAAATTTATAAAGACGTCTGAATGTAGTATTTCTGAAGAGGCCACTTTATTGAAAAAAAAAGCCAAACTATCCTCAAAAAGTTTTAAAATGGAAACTCGAGTTGGTAACAGAGAATGTAATCCAATATAAATTATGATTTCCATCTTGAATACAAACACAAAACCGATATAACGAAAAAATGTGTCACTGTAAAAAGTTTATGTAGAATATTATTGTTCCCGTTATCACATGCGTGCACGCAAAAGATGTTGTATACTAATACCTATCGATCATTTTATAGAATAAATTTAGCAAAATAACAAGTAAACTACAACTGACGGAATACAAAGGTTGCCAATTGTATTGCCCACAGCAGTCCAGTTTTCCTAAGCAGAAATCATTTGCAAAAGCCAAATATGTGTTTCTGACAGTTTTCTTTCAGCGTTTGTTTTTGTTATTGTTGAAATCTCTATATAGACTTAGTTTTCTCCTTGTTAGCATGTATTCGTGCAGTTATTCAGGTAATGGCATACATCGAATGCTAGCATCAAGACGCGCCCCAAATTATACAGCAAAGTTACCCAGTCACTCACTTTATATACGAAACTACGGCATTCGCTCATACATAATACATACTGACATATATTATATTATATGCAACAATAATACAATTGTTGCGATAAATTAATCGCTTACGTTATAGCTTCCTATTGGCGTTTATTGTTAACAAAAGGGTTCTCAAATACTGCTGCAGTATGTAGGATCGATGGTGAAAACGAAAACAGAAGAAAGGGCTTGCATCGTACACCGCTAAAATCATAGGCAAAAAAAAACATTGAAAATAGCGGGCCGACTCAAGAAGCTGCTGGTTTAGTGCTCGTTTAGTTTGTGTCAATATTGGCACCATTTTTTCTTCTTTTCTTTCCCGTTTGCCAACTATGTGAGACACATCTAATTAAGCACAAGGCGGATCATTACACATTTACCATATGAATATATTATTCGTGTATTCGACATCAAAGATCTGCATTCTTTATGCAGTACATATATAGGTAACGCATATTAATATAATCTGATGTATGTGTATCTATGTATACCCTCTGAGTATATTTATATATTATATATACTCAGCTTGTTTTCATTGCCTGTTTCGTTTAATCCCAATTTTTTAAGGTGTCCACTACTTTTGGTCATAACTAATCTCTTCTCTATTCTTAAATATAACTATGTATTCTTTCTTACGATGAATATTAACTTTCAGCTTCTCAATTGTTTTGTTTTATTAGTAATATCTTGGCTATTTCAACTACCGAGTAATTTTTAGCTAATTAGCCAATCCGATTCTAAAGCACCTTGGACAGGTCCCAAATCTTGATGCTTCGATCAGTGCCAATGGTAACCATTGTCTTTGACTCGGCTGACAGCGACATTGCTGTGACAGGAGCCTTGAGGTCGTGGAACTTCGCCAATGGCTCCCGATCTCCGTCTGAGATATGCAGATGACACTCGTTGCAGATGCGTACGGGAAATTCGAAGCCAAGCCGGGGAAGTGTCGAGCGATTTTCGGAGCACGCGTCACACAACGCCCTTCCGCACCGTCGACAGTGATGCTGACGACTTCCGACCTGTAAAAGAATTATTTTATTGTTTGATAACTAATAAGATTCTAACCCTAGAATTGCTATTAAGTAAGTACAATGCTGACACGATGCAATGTGTTGGACGTAGTTCAGGACCACGAACTACGGATGTCGATCACCAACAAAATGCAAAATTTTCAAGTTTTGCGCTGACAGATTTAGTTGACGTTATGATGGCACCTCACACCTAACCTCAAACAGCAATGGCACTTCTTCTTGAAAATGCTATATGCAACTACCAGCACCCCAACATATGCACGTGCGTACTCTTAAACGAATCCGAACAATTGTGGATACGATACAATGCATGGCGTCTTTTTGCAGACATCAGAATTCGAAGTACGTGCGCGCAGCTGTGTCGCTACTCGCCTGCTTCTGGTCGAACATTCCGCGTACGTTCCAAAAGAAAGGCCTAGCGCAACGTTCACAGCAGTCCCGCGTGGTCCACTCAGGCGTTTCCTGTCGCTGGGCGGCTACATCCCAAACGACTAACGTCGAGTCCTCAGACACTGAAAGCAGTGACGAGGCACTATATAGCGCCAATCCGGTGATGCGAGCACGATGGCCACTGAGCTCGTAGGCCGTCCCTTTACCACCACCGATGTCCCACACAATGATAATCTGTTTGGCCAAAAAAATAGTCGTTAACAAGATATGATGCGATAGCTATTGTGGAGTTTTCCAGCGAAGGAAACGGTGGTAATACTTGCCTATCAAAAATCGTTAGCGACCTAGCCAAACGTATAAAAGCGCACTAACGGGGTAAAGCAGGGATCTGTAGGATTCCATTGGTACATCAGCAAAAACCGGAGTTAGGAAAATCTTAGGTGTTGAGGCAATGATCATTTTTTCGTTACACTTCCATATCTGGCAGAGTTATGCACACACCTCTACGTAAGAATTTCTAATTGTCTAGAAATAAACGATCTTAGTTCAATGATAGGTAACCTGATCAAAGCCGCCTGAAATGAGTAATCTTCGACGCTCATCCCACAACAACGATTGAACCGAGCCTGAATGTCCTTTGAGTGTTGTAACTGGCTGATAACTGGTTTCGGTCAATTTGAGCATCGTGATTTCTCCCGAATAGTCACCTACAAAGGCATGCCGCGATGCTTGGTCCAACGCGACTGTTGTGCACCATGCCGATCCCAAAAAAGCACCCAATCGGCGTCCTGTTTCTGTACAGTGCCACTGGAGTAGGCAAAATAATATAGGACCAAAAACAAACAATATTACAACTTGTCAGTGCAGTATGGTTGAATAAAGCAGTCTGATGTGTCTAAGTTACAGGGTCTGTGAAACGATTCGAATGCTTCATATTATAACCAACTTCAAATAACATATAATACAATGCGCTTAAATCAAAAGATAATGGGATAATATATATATATATATATATATATATGCAAATGTTGTTGGTTACTTGAAAGTATTTATCTTTCCCAGCCGAAATTAGCCATTCCGTTACTGGGGAAAACTTCATCGAGGTTACACGCTGCTGGTGCGCAATATAGCTCCTGCAATTGTATAGAGGAAAAACAGCAATAGAAGTATCTGTTAGGCGAATTTGACTGAGTACATCTGAATATAACAAGCAACAAAAGCTCTAATGCACACCAAAATGTAGCAGTGCTCTAATATGCCACTAATTCATCTGTTTAGGTCATGTTTAATAATTTCATTCTCTCAGAAATTGCATATACCACGCATGGAGGTGGTATCGTAATTTTTGTGCACTGAATATATAATATCCAATACAAATACATGATTATGGTTAACTGTACGAAACGAATTTGTCTAACAAAGGTCTTGTGCTTATATAAGGCTATTGAAAATGGCCTTTCCTACCCGAATACCGAATACTATGCTTCACAAAATGCTGTAAATTTCAACAGAAGCTATGAATACGAAGTAACTTCATCAAATGAATCACCAACCTTCGGTATGTGATTTTATTGAGGTCGTCTGCGAGCTCGAACTCGGTTATACTTCCATTGTCCATCGCAACGAAGAGCCTTCGCAACTGTGGGTCGTAGTCCATAGCCGAGGCCAAACTCGGCATCGTGTGACATACCGACGGCCAGTACTGTCCTGTGTCACGTCTTGCCCATACTCGAATCGTGCGGTCGTCCGAAACTGAGATTACTGCGAGATCATCGGCATCTCCAATTAAGACAACCTGAATAAGTGAAAAGTAAGCCACAACTTTGCTTTATTACAACAGCTACACATAAATTCTATCCTATGCTACCAGAGATACACTGAAGGTTGCGGACCTTCTATACAATTAAGCAGACTCAGATGAGCTTAATAAAATCATTTCAGGGTCAATTGTACAGCACAAGTGACATATTTTCAAACGCTTTTTGGCCTATGAAAGCGGGTGGACGAAGATATCGGCAAACATTGGTAAGGTGCCGACAAACGACGTGATACCTAGAGGTGACATATCGCATGTTAGCGATAGCAAGCGTAATAGCTTGCTGTAATCGGATTTCAACTAATTCAGCATTTACGTTTCGTGCTAATATTTTATATTATGTACAGCGTTCTATCTCCCTATTGAACGCGACTGCTGTCGGCGCTGCACAGCTAAACGGTGGTGTTCAAGTGAGTTGGACTTGTTTCAGCGTTTTCTTATAACTTGGCGTATCCTTGTACGCGAAGTATCAAAATGCTCAGACGAACAAGTGCATTTGAAAAGCAGAAAACACTGGTTGATTAGCATATTCCTATGTCAAAAGAAATCTGCACAACGCGAAACTGCTGAAACTGTTGCCGCATAAGATCGCTAACAGGAATCAAAAAAGGCGTACTATGAAACGGAAAAACCGTGTTATTATTCACGAACTTTAAAAGAATAGATTTGCCCCGTATAATGTTCCCCAAAGCAGATTAAAAGAGCACAAACTCACTGTATAGAAAGATACACTTCGCAAAAGAGACTAAATTCCAAGAAATTTCGGTTAAATTCTCGAGTAAACGAGCCCGTCTTCATTACGCAAACCAAGTTAAAAATGGGGCCATTGAGAGCCTGTTCCTCAGGTAAAATCACATATGGAAGTGGTCGAGGAAGTGTGTTAACAAACGATTTGTTCAAGTTTCGTTGCGCCGAAGGTTAGATATATATCAAAAGTTATGACCTGGGCTATGATTTCTGGCCAATGTACTGAGACAACACATTTAACCCAAGGAATGCCGGAGCGGCTGGGATATGCTTAAGTAATGCTACCTCACAGAGAGGAATGGTACTCTAATCGTGATTCAAGTACAAAGGGGCGTTTTGTCATAGAGCTTGGAGTATCTCTAGACTATTTGCTGTCAATAACGTTCAGGTGCTGTCGTAGTCTACTAAATCAGCAGAATTCAATTTCATATAAAACATTTGAAAAAATCTTAAAATCACAAGTTTAAGAAGGACCGGATACCTCAAATATTTCAGATCTTCGTGAAAAAATTCACTAATGTATGGCAACAGAATCCGCTCATTGATAACACATCACTGCATCGACAAAATGCCTCAAAGGGCGGCGGCAGTTATCTTTATCCGTATGTAAAGCACTAGACTGGAATAACGCTGCTTTCATAAGCCAAAAACTGTTTGAAAATATCTCCCTTTAGCGCTACGTAATTACCTGAAAGTGAAAATTACTGAAATTTATTTGAATCTATTTGATTGAGCGCCGACTGTGTTATCCTATATATGAGGTAGTGTAAGTGCTAACAACGCCACATGCTAATTCTCTGTTTTGCCGCCTATTGCACACACAATTACTACTTTATTCTATTTTGGCGTATGGTAGTAATAATAACAAAACTATGAACCCCAGCATTATTCAAGTGAGGTCCTAAAACTTGCAATACATTAAAGTTGTTAATACAAAATCAACAACAATGTGATTTACCGGTTTTTTCTTTTCGAACCCGTATAAATCAAATTGAACCTATAGGCAGCGCTAGCTAATGTAAAGCTTTTACATTTTATTGCTTTGCAAGTCTAAACATAATTATTCGTCGCGGAGCAGATTTCTTGTGCTGTTCTTCAGAGCTCCTAAACGCTCTCAAGATTATTCTAAATATTGCATAAGCTGGCTTATCACGCTCTGGACGGCATGTAAGAATGATATGATTTAGATAAAACAACATCAGTAAAAACCGTATGAGTTTAACAACTGTGGTATCGATAAATGCTCCTTTGCAACCGATCTCCTGTACAAATGATCTCTTGTAATCGGTACCAGACGCAATGTCTGTACCTCCTTGAAGACGGTGTGGCAGTATTCATTGCCAGTTGCCATTATACACGAGGCATACGGAATTAGTTAACAAAAAAAACAAGAGAACACAGCAAGGTCTCGCATTTTTCAATGATAACCGATGATAAATGAAGCCATGCCCACTACGAAACGAACTATTGGCAAATTGTAAAGATGGTGACTTGATGCAGATTAAGCATAACCTCTTTAGTCTATATTTCATTGCGATGGTCTCGAGATACCGGAAGAAAAACAAAGACGACTACAATGCCTTATCATACATTCTCTACTGATCTAGCCCGCAAATGCTGTGATGTGTCATACCAGCATCTCCGCTTCATCATATCAGTTGTATATAGGTACAACTATACGATCTATATACACATAATATACAGAGGTATATGTTTTATTGTAAATTGTAATAAAAACGTGTTATTTTTTTTAACTAATCTACGAATTTTAGTTACGGAGTAAGCAGACCGAGATCAGAGATAAATGACATATTAATATGTTGCCAACCATGTCGTTGTAGCTATCTTTCATAGAACTGGGACTAACATATTTTCTGCAATACAATTCAATTTTCGAGACGCTAATTTCACTAAGCCAAGATATCAATGAGATTACATAGTATATTCTGAAGATCACGTAGGTATCGTACTAGTACAATATCTTGTTATGTTAACAGAAACCTGCGCGATTTATAATTGCATTATACGTCACACAATAACAGTAATAAGCATCTATCAGTATAAATGAGAATTGCATTGATTTTTATTGTGGTACCACCAGGGTAAGTGTTTCGAAAATGAATTGTACGCTTTGATGCGTGCGACCTAACTTGCAAAGATGTTTATTTATAGCAGCATACAAAATACAATTTATCAAACTGTGACTCTTCTTCATAAAACCTAAATATCCAATTTACAGCAGAGTTAGAAAATTACGGTAACTATGTAATTTATGGATGGATAATTATGTAGTCAAAGCATAGTGTTCACAACAAGAAGTGTCATCTTAACTTTATCTACTGATTAGAAATATTTTGGACAGAGATGTAGCACACAGACGTAGGTAAAACGATTTTCAATACCAAAAAAAAAATACTCAAGCACATTTCACACAGAATATTGCGATACCGATTAAAAATCCATGTAATTTATTCAGAAATCTTGCTCAGCTATATTTTACATTTTCGAAGTAACGCATTAAACCATCAATGTCTATTTGATGTGGCGTACCCAATATTTGATTTAACTCATAAATTTGCCTAAAAGAATATAGTAGCACTGCATCAGTGCTATTAGCCTGACATTAGAACGGTCGAAAACCTATTAATTTACCGGGACGAGGCAAAAAATGTGTTGCTGAGAAGGGACCTTAAGCCAGTGAACAAATTTCAAAAATACTAATGCGATTTCGAAGGCAGCGTACTCTGTAAATAATCAAAACCAAATCATACATTTCTATCTATTATTATACCTGATTGACGGTGTCTGTGTGTCCGTCGAGACGGCACAGCAATTGAGGCTTTTCGGGGGACATAAATTGGCCACCTGACAGGGGTTTGATTGAGGCAGCCATTTCTAGCAGAACAAGCAAAGCCCTTCACGAGTCGGCACGATGGACTGCTCTTCGCCACAGATACCGGCAGCTATAGTCGAACCGTACGAAAGTTACCTAAAGAATCCGTACTTCACGGTACTCCAGTTGAAAACTGTGGTCTAAACTATGAGAAATCTACCTGCAATAAACCAATGAACCGAGTCATTAAGTTTTGCGTTTTGTTAAATCAAAGGCTCACCAGACAAAAGTGACTTAAAACAACTGTCCAAGGGACGAAGGATGGAGCTTAATTTATTGTGGGACGCTCGAAATTTCAAAAGGTTAGTAAAAATCAAATGAAGCGAGAATCAAGTTTCAATTCGGCATCTTCTATGAAAAAGAATTATCTAGTATTTTATAAAAGTAATATAATGATAATAACAACCTTTATTAGTGATAATGTATGATAGTTGCCTGTATATAAAAATCAACAAAAAATTATTATTTAACAGCCAACTGGATGGCTAGTCCAAACTATCATATATGGGTTATACTCGTCCCACAATGCAAACCACATCGCGGCATCGTTACTCTAGTCACTCTGGCCTGATTTTCAAGTCATACCAATATAAACAATAATCTGCATCTAACAGTTGGTGCTGTCATAGTAATGACTGCAATAATATAACACCATTTACAAGAAAATCAATGAAGGCAAACACGCAGTGGGAATAGGTAGACAGGCAAAAGGCAACATAAGCTAAACGCAGTAAGCGACGACGCCAGCTGGATAGGTAAGCTTAGGATGATGTGGCGCCAGTCGCCGCAGTAATCTTTATTGTTTAGTTTAACTGATGACTGGAAAGTGAACGAAGTTCACCTCCGGCAACTGCGCAATAAGCCATACTCAGAATTATAACTGTTTATGTCACAAAACTGTAACCTGCGTTGTGATCAAGTGTCGTTCAGATGGATGGATGAATCATTCTCATCAATTATGATGGACGAGCCCGATTAATTTGCTGATTTCATTATGTATCGATTGAATGTGTCATATTTTGTTTGGTTCCTGGAGCAACGAATATGTGAAGATACTTGAAGAGGCATACGTAATCCATTATTAAGCATCGATAGTTTTGACTAATGATCAACTAGTGGCATATTCGGCTAATAACTTAAATGCATACGACAATACAGGACACACGTAACATTTAGTGTATGTAGATATGTTATGATCCGAGTTTACGATTACTGCAGAGATGAGGGATCGCTTCTCAATTTCATCTCCTATTTTCGTTACACCCCACCTGGCGGATTGAGACGAATGAATGAAATCGCTTCTTTCTGTCACCTTACCCCTATAATCTTAATTTCGCTCATTTTATAAACAGGAAGCATATTAGATCTACCGACCAAAGAATTATGTATGAGTTAATAGAAGCTGGTATTCTGAGCGTTAACTAGCCTCAAAAAGAAAAAATATCTCATAATGGTAAATATGGACCTGTTTTGTAGAGTGTATTACCCCACACCTATGTTCATTTATTTTTTAAACATTGAGCCGTGCGTAGTTCATAATGTTGTCATTATTCAGTTTGTCTCTGTACGATAAGAGGGTACAAAAATTACATTGTCCTCCAGTGGACGCCATAACACTCAATGGTTGTTATAGTCACAGCCCTAGCGCTATATAATTGTGGAGACTATCGGGCAGATCCCTCTGTCAAATCGGCATATAAAGACTATACCTCGTTTAACGGCACATGAACAAAGCGTCCATCGGGGAAATACTCTTGTGAAAGGTTTAGTCGCATGAATATTCCCAGCATCATCGGCACAATGCATTGAGAGACAGCATCCGAAAAAATTCATGTTATTGTATTTCGTAATACTTGCACCAGCTTTCCATTGTTATTTTTCATATATTTCAATGTACCTATGAGTCACTACGCGTTGACCAGCTAAATTTCTAGATAAGAACACATGGAAAACGCACACGAGAATTTGTTACTATGAGAAATATATTTTAATGCATAATGTGTTATTTTTTTATAGTTTCGTTGCGAGCTGTCGAACATCTATACTTTTTGGCATTTCGTATTTTCGCTAACACCTTCTGGTTTGACCAACAAAGCTGCTGACAATCAAGACACACACACACATACACAGTGACAGGTCCTCAAAAGCAAACTATCCTATTTTCTTTTCTGCATTAGCTAGTTCCTTCACAAGCCGCAAGAAAAGAGTGAATTATAACAGGCCACCAATAGCTATACCAATAATCCTTCGATTCAATTTTCGGTTAAAAAAAAGTATCACAACGATTTTTGTGTCGGCTTCTTTCCTTGAGTCGCTGCTACGCAGAAAAATGCACACAGCATCGTACAGCAGCCACGCACCGACTTCAGCCAAACATTCGAAGCACACATTTATCTATACGGCGTTGTCGGTTGTTGTTGTACCTGACCAAATCTTTGACAGCCACACATTCCAACTCACCACAAAAACGGTAGCTCGACGCAGAAGGCGTTGGTTGGCGATAAGTTTTACGCTAAACTACCGAGTACGAGCGCCAGGTTGTCGCTGTTGTTGTTGCTGACGATACACGTTGACGGACAAACAGCGGCGCAACGCATAGAGAATGCATGGAGGCTGCTGTGTGTTGCCAGCGGCTGGCTGTCTATGTGCTGCCTGGCTGCGAATCTCCCTGATCGTTGCCGCTACCGGTGTATTACTGGCGATGTTTTTCTTCACTTGTCTACTCGTCTCGACAATGCTCCAGACGACTCTCGCAGATCTCCGTGCTGATCCCGATGCGGCTGTTGGTATCATATCATATCGTGTCCACGGCGGCCACCAACACACCTTGATCACTTGCAATCATATAAACTCACTTCATTTCTATTTTGCTCACCACGCTATCTACGCATTTCTAGCTGTTATCACCAGCAGTTCGTTACCAGCGCTAACGTACCACTACTAGTACCACTAATTTTTCTATTGTCTCTGCCTGTCTCTTCCCATTTCTCCCACTCGCCAGCAAACACCACGGAGCATCGCATTCAATTGGTGGCAAATCGACGGATCGACACCTCGCAGCTCAGTAAGCCATCGATTGCAGCGCGGCCCCATATATATATTATTCGTAATTAGTGGAATGATAGTCGAGTAAGAAAAACGAGCGACATTGACACGAGAACTGTTAACTAGCGCGCGTAGCTCACCAAGACACACACAAACACGGACAGACAGGCACCAACGGGATTTCAGCATTAACGCGCGAACAAACACCGACTGAAAAGTGATGCGTAAGGCAATACTACCTGACTAGGTGGGTTGGCAATCAAAACAATGAATAGCTCAATGGTAGTTCAATACGGGTGTGCGATTTGGGCTGCCTACTATTGAGCTAAGTGGTTAATACGATGAATGAATTCGATGAGAATGAGGCAAACGATTGCTTTTTAAGCGAACGACCATTACCTTAAGAGTGTTTCTTTCCACGCCAGGCACTAGTTTATACAGAGTGCACGAATTCTGGAGAGGGTAAACAGAATCAATAGATTATTTAGCTATTGGATGAGGAAGATACGTTTGTATTTAGCTTTCAAGTTAACTTGTATTTTTAACTGGTGGCTGTAGCCCTAGTTGACATTCGAAATTATGGGTAATTCTCTAACATGTGTTCATACTCCTTACATCCATTTGTTTATGCACAGTGTTAGGACATGAATCCTTGAGCGATTTAAAGGCCTCTTTCATGCAACAGTGTTGGAGCTGGGCTGTTTTCATTTGCATATCAATAAATTTTATACTGTATTTAGCTTGAAATTAGATCTAGACTGGTGAGGTAAAAGTCAACAAGGGTGTGATCGAATTGTAAATTTACATCGACCTTAAACATTATAATAAGATGATCACAGTCGATTATCAATGAATTATATAATAATTTGTTAAAAAATGGGCGTTAGGACCATGGTTAGATGAAGCTTTAAAAGATATGTTCATCCTATGAGCTGACCTTCCTTTAATTGGCAAATCATGTTAGATCTCAGATTTTCTGGTCATCTACCGAATGTATTAGTTGATTGGACTGAACTGATTTTAAGGAGTCGTCGTAACGTATGAGCTAGATAAAAGATTTGGAAGTAGATAAATTTTGTATTTACGTTCACATTTCTTGCCTTTTCTTTCTTATCATCGTTGCTGATAATTTGGACGAATAAGTCGCGGGCTTGAAAAAACCTGAAACTGCTTATTCCCGCCACATCAAGTTAAACGCTTTTCTAAAATGAATCCAATGTCTGATCTATGGGCATTTCGTCCATAGAACATTTAGCCATAAAAGCCACTCGTGCGAAAGATATCTGTAAAGCAATAGCAGAAAAATACCCTGAATAGAGCAAAACTTTCATATGTGCTCACGTATTTTTAACCTTACGAAACTTAACCATTGTTATTAATAACGGGACCGCGTAACGGGACGACATGTTATCTTAACCATCTTTCAGCTAAGCCACTTAATTTTCCAAATTATCCCGTTACCTCCCCATATTACCCTATCTTAACGATTGCTTTAATCATTCTGTTATTTTGCTTCACTTATTCATTTATTTTAGCTCAAGTATTGCACTACTGCAATACGGTCAGATACGTCGGCAGAGCGCGAAATAAACCCCCACAGAATATTCAGTATTGCCGACCATCCAAGAAACCCAACGGGAAGATGGACCGATGCGCAATTAATAAAAGAGAAAGCGAGTCCATCAGAGATGCCTGAAAGCTTTGTATTGAAATGACATCAGTTCAAAATACAAACCCGAGCACGCGGGGTACAGGGTTCGGTGTGCGAAAGCTCCATAGTGAACGAACAATAAATTAGCAACGAAATTTATACATCTTTATATAAAGTCTCTTTCTTTTTAAGAAAAATAGATATTCCTTTATTGTCTTTTGACTATTCTGTGGCAGATCTTCCATACCGCCTTGTCAATCATTTTTTGCGTTTATTCCGCTAAGAACAACTTCCATATTTGATCGTTTCACAAATTCTCAACCATTACAAAAACTGCCCATTATAGTACGTTTTCCGATATTTTACACTGAAAACTCTACGGAAGTTTTCATATTTTCTAGGCTAGGAAATTCCTCCCAAACTTATCGTATATATACAGCGTTATGTATCTAAATCCAGACCTCTTCTTCTAGCTTGTTTCAGAGATTGTATCTAAATATCAACACATTTCAATGCACATACGCTAGAAGTCGTATTTATTCGATATAACCATCATTTATCACAATTACATTTTCGGGTTAGCGTTTAAACCACTCCATAGTCCCTTTCCAGTTACTTCTCCTTCATTCTACAAAAAACTTTTTGATGAGAACTGTGCGTCGAACGATATTGGTAGGTGCAAATTCGCTAAAATGTATCTCGAATACACTACATACTAAAAGTCCAACGAAATTGAGTTTTGGACTAATAATAAGCTAAGGTTCCCAAAAAAGGGAAGAATTCAAAACAAACAAAAAGTCGAAAAGATGCGACACAATACAGAAAGTCCCTAAAGAACCAAGTGTTGGAGCTTATCTAGACAACCCAACTATTGATATCTTTCTTTGAGGCCTATTAGTAATTCCTAAGATCCAGGGTGTAAACATGATTTTTAGGACAACTTTGACTAATTTTCAAATGAAATCTAAATTGTATTGAAAATCTTCCAGTTTGCCTCCTGAGAACCTTGCTTGTATTTTTCAAGAACTATGTGAAAGCTCGTAATAACGTAAACCTCGATTTCTGACAAAAAAGAAAATTTACAACTTCGGTCGGGAGCAGCTTTTTCCGCGACGACACATTGGGTACTAGCTGAGCTTTGCTCATATTCCGAAACCGATGCACCGAACAACTTTTTATTGATTTACTGTTTTGTTCTTGGATGAACTGGTTTCCTTCTAGCCGCAAGAATAGCGGCTAAACGTATACTTGCTATGGCGAGCAGCTCGCCAAATTTTGTTCGAATTTAAATGGCCCGACCTTATACATATATATGATTACCATGTAAATAGATATCAGCAAAATATATAAGATGACAGTCATAACTACTTAGAAACTCAGTCTGTTCGGGTGATTTAAAGAGCAGAGTCTGACACCAACAATAATTGTTATTGTATACATTACCCAATCAGGTGCACATTTACCGAGCTAAAGTAGGACATTATGCATTTGTATGACGATATAATTTTCTGATTATCACCCGACTAATAAGTATGTGCCATTACCAATAATAGTATAATCAGACAGTTTGTTATTACTGTCATTTTAATGATTTTTATACGTATATAGATCCCAAAAAAATTATTCAAACGCGCAATATATCATGAAAACAGGACCAAATAGAAAGAAATAGGATTAATTTAAGACTAGTTATAAACCAAAGCTTCCACACTACATTAATTTACACGTAGTTATATCAAAATATATCTTATCACATAATGATCCATACACATACAAACAAAGCGCGATAAATTTCCATACAAAGTTTAATCTTTTTTGGCCCCTTTTTGCCTTTCCTATATATAGAAATACCTATCCTTCATGCTAACTATCCTAAAACGATGTAGAACTTAAATAACAATATCGAACCTTCAAATAAGGACCTTAAAAAAGTACTATGAAGAGGTATCAGTAGTACACAGGCAAGAGTTGGGGATCGTCCTTTCCGGTCTCTGTTAGTTGCCAATTCGAGAAGATTTGCGGTAGCAGTCAAAGGTCTGCACGTTCATTTATGGCAGTCGGAAGAGGTGCTAGCGTAGATCGTGACAGCGGGAAGCTTCAATAGTGCACTGAATCAAATTTTGATCAAAACTTTTCCATGAATTTATACATTAAAATGAGAATAAGTAGTTTCTGTAGCTTCGTTTACTAAACGCTTGTTCATATTTTTCATAAAATTCATAATTTACTGACCACATTTGTTTGAGATCATTGTTCCATCTGGAGAAAATAAAAATTATATCTTTCTTCACACGCTTGCTGCAAAAAACACAAATAGAACGGTGCTCGATTAAACAACCGAGAACCAAAATAGTATGGTAAACTGTGAACGTAGATGGCGCACAAAGATCAATACCCCCTAGAAGGACTCAGCTACGTACTGTCTACTTACCGTATGAGTGTTTGTCGGCCGTTTCAGTCACGTTGGCTTTTTGAAACAGCTTTTATTGGTTTGCTAGATGGGTGTGTTCCTTACCGCTCAGAATGGGGACATGATCTAAATGCAAAAATAAGTGAATTAGGTTACTCATGACATTATAGCACGCCTAGAAATTAGGGTTATTATATATTTCGTAGATGTTTGTTGTTTCTAAATTTAATCTACAGCGTTTATTAGCGAAGTGTTTGAGATCTTTCAGTTAAAATCACTCACTTTATCTATTTTCCATTGCAGCTTCTAACCAATTTTTTTTGCATTTTTTTTATATACGAGACTACATAGAGAAGTTCATTACGGGTCTGTAATTTTACACATACCGCATAACTAAGATAAATCTCATCATGAGAGCAGACGCTACGGCGACCTTTCGCGCAGCCATAGAAATAATAAGTATTTTGAAAAAATCGATTGCAAGTATTTAGTCAGCTTTAAATACGTTTCTGTACAAGTTCTACCAGCTGCAGCTAGAATCAATGGCGAAGTACCATGACAGACTATGATGACAGACTTTTATTCACGTATCGAGCATGTGTTCTTCGTACCTCAGTGACCTTTTGATGCTCTGAAAGGCAAGGAAATCAAAGATCATCTGCGTGCCTATGATCTATTCAGATCCACTAACCCGGTCTACGATATGATACTTATCAGTTTTTCTCTACATCAGAGAGCTAGAACAACTGAGTTTGATTGGTTTTCTTTTTCTGTTCTACGAATGGCCTACTGATATTTGATCAGTTCGCTTAAATAAGATATTTTACGCTCAGTAGAAGACCGAGAGATCCTAAACTGATCCATTAATTTAGTACCCACAAAAAAATACGGGGCAAATTTTATAATCTACGTAAAAAATAAGAAGTACTATTTCAGCTGTGCTAATTAACATATAGAAATATGTAGAAGATTATGCCACCAAAATAGGACATAGGTACATTGAAAACGATTTCGGTACCCTTTGGTTAGTGCATGTTCCCAGCTGTATGCCTGTCAGCATTCTAAGTGTTTTAGCGTACAGCTGAATAAACGAAAATGACATCTTGTTGTAAACTTAGCTTATTTAAGACTATAACAAAACCTTTGTCTTTGAAGAAGAGGCTGACACGCTTGGAAGATACCCAGCTCACAAACAGGCTTCTATTTGATTCCGACCCGGGTGAACGCCTTTTTCATCCGGGCTTAAATTTTCTGTCCGCTAATGTATTGTTTGAAGAAAAAATTATTTTTTTCCGGCACGAAATCTCGCTTTTTGACGCAGTTATTGTTATATGATAAATCTAAATTACCGCGAACTGGTTTCCCTTTGTGTAGTATAAAGGCTATCAATTGTTTGGCATGACTTTCTTTCTGCCAAGCTACTCGTGGTTTGATACCTTATCCACGTAAACATTAAGGTTTTGAGCATAACTCTACGCAATACTAATCCTTAGCAAAGGTATCGTTTGAGATGCGCTATTGCAGGCTGTAGGCAGTCTTAACGTTGGTACTGAAAATTAGCATAAGCAATATATCATCGAGCTTACGCAGATATATGTTACGGTACTAATGACCAATGGCGTGTGGAGATGACTTATACCCAAAAAGATCGATTCTGTTAGTTATCTTGTGTTAATCTTTAGTCGTTCGCGGTACGTTTTCGCTAACATACGAAGTCTCAACTAACTAAGTAGCGACTTATTTGAGGTAGGAAAAAATAATCATACCACTTTCCGTATATGACTCTATAGCATGAGATCAGAAAGAAGCATTAATTACGTATACTAAGCGTATAACCCAACGAATACTTGTTACTTGACCGTGGCTCATTGGAGTGCTAGTGAAAAATCGCTTTTAACCTGTATAAAATTTCCCTCAATTAATTAACTACACGTATCGAAGTTCCTTCTCAAATAGTAACGCGTTCGTTCAAAGCAACGATGACTTAATTGCTACTTTTCCGTCATGTTGTTTGGCAAAGGTCTTAATGTTTCGTGCAGTACAACTTTTATTAATCTCAAAAGAAAGTTTTACCGCTACTCAAACAACACCAATTTGAATCATGACATTTGGGTCGAAAACGCCAACGCATGTATTTGAGGAAGTTTTTGGACGTTTAGCGTTGATGTGTGCAATATTCACTAAATTGAGACAAGATTGTTTATTGAAGTTTGTCTTTTTTCGAACTACGAAATGGCTATATCCTTCGACCTATAGAACTTAATCCAGGGCCAAGTAGTTTTTCTACCAATGTAATCCTTCTAAAAAGCAATCTTGGTCGGTTCATCGCTTCTCCTACATAAAAATCAGTTCTTCATTTCTCTAGAGCCTTTTACCTGTTTGTCATTGTTTAGATTTGCAAATGGCTTACTAACTATATCTTTAATATCTTTAACGTCTACTGAACGAAAATTGGCTCTTGAAGAGCAGCTTAGACGCATTTAGTTGACCCAGCACAGCGCATGATCAGCATCTTCAGATATTAATGCACTAATAAAAAATTCTCAATTTGTACTTTCGTTCGAGTACGAGACGACGGGCGTCCGATTAGGGAACACTGAATGGGCAATTGGCACTTAGAGGCATCTATGAAATAGAATTAAGGGCGTTGCAGTGGCGGATCTTACCGAGAACACTTATCGATTTCTTGTTATATTCTGGGTGCTAACGGACTCCTAATTGCGTGACAAAAATCCTTGCGTAAGCGTTTATATTCGCGCAGACTCAAGAGCAGGGTTGTTGTTATTGTTGTAGAAGAAATCTACGGTTCGGTCGCTACTCATATCTATAATGTCCTCAATTTAAACCAGTACTTGTTTGGATACCGTGAAGGACGAAAAAGATGTCGACGAATTTTCGCAGTAAACAAACAACCTAATGTCTCCTAACGTAAACGTTAGGTCCGAGATTATTACCGATAGGAATTGATATTCGTTTTTATTAAGCTCTTTAGTCCTAATAATATCATTATAAGTTTGTCATCATCTTATCAACTCTTGCTGTCTACTGACGCCATCTAAGATTCACGACATCAATTTATTTGCTACAAACGATGGACTCGAAATGACGGCACGTATTTAATGCGTTCTTCTTATCATGTCATTATTTATATTTTAAGAACTATTCAATCATTTTATTATGTTTTCGAATGTTGTCCCCGTTCAGTCTGGGTTAATCATTTAACCTATTTTCTCAACAAGAATGTCACCTATTCGGTCCGGGTATAGCTATTTTTGCATTATTAGCTTTAGGAAAATAGATTGTAATATTACGTGACTATGTCGGCTATTTCCAAGCTTTTTGAGCAGTCGTTCGTAGTGTGGACTCCGCTAGATTGTGTGCACACTGTATACCCATCACTCTTGCCAATGAATAGTAACTCGAGCCACCACCGCTATGATAAAACGATTGTTAGCGAAAACTGTGCCGGTACTGTGTGATGCTCGTTATGGCGGCCACGTCGACCATTATCTCTACCGCGTCCTGCTTTGAAATCGGTGTTCGTGAGTGGTGCCCTGGTGATTCAGCAGGTCAGGGTCGCAGGCTGCAGGCTTAAGGCCTCAGTGGCAAAATCCGGTATACTCGCAGTGCCTTGCGGACAGACGACCTGACCCGGACTCGCGCAGCCGCTGCTGCGACGAACTCCATTTTAGCTCGCAAAACGACACAGCAGTGCGGACCATGCCACACTAGACAACGACCAGATTTGCACAGCAAAGGTAGCATGGGGGCCTTTGCGTGTACCCTCTGCTTCTACTGGTTGGAGCTTCTGCCCTCTCCACTTTGCGTCTCTTTGTGTACAACACGCCAGCAGCGGCAGAGGCGGCGGCAACAGCAGCTGCGATCGGGTATATGGTATGGTGCAGCTTGAGTACCCGTGGCGGCGGCGCGCTCATTCGGGGAATGAGGAAGGGGTAATGTGGCACCGAACGGGGTTCGGGTTTCGATCTACAAGACCACTATGGAGGTGGGAGTAGACAGGGAAGGGCAAATAGGGATGAAAAGCGGGTGCTACCGAAGAGGAGTTACAGCAAACAAGGGGGAGCGGGATGCGCTCGGGTTACATTTACCCCATCGAAAGGGACCAGCTGAACTTCATGTGCACGGTGAACGACCAACGGCTAACCGAACGAACAAAACTCCAACAAGCGATGGATAACATGGCGCTGTAAGTAGTAGTATCAGCAGCAGCATTTACGAGGCTGAACAGCACACAGGCGAAATACCATCAGGCTGAAAGGCAGCCTTAGTATAGGGAGGGAACTTGCAGGACTTTCGTTACATGCGCTTGACATCAACAGTAGCAGCAGCCTTCAGGGGTGGCAGCAATCAGCAGGAGCAACGAATGGAAATGGCAATAGCAGCTGCAGCGGCTGCCGAGGCAGCAGTATGAACAGTCACAGCAGCTATGATAACAGCAGAAGCACACGAAGACGATGACTCGCTATCGTACTCGCTAAACTAACGTAGGCCGCGGGTCGTGCAGGCAATTGTTGTCAAATAGTGTACTCATATTACCGCCGCTACTGCTGATTTTCGAACGCGCTCTCAGAAGCGCGGATCCGTCGACAGCGAAAATAGTGTTGGACTGGTGGCGTACAATTTGTGGCAGATTTGCGGTTTTCCACGCGGCCGAGCCGTGTAGCTGTCATCCGCCGTGAAACTGGTGCAATTATCAGTGCCGGCAGTACCGTCTCTATTATTTGTCAGCGCTCGCAGAACTCGTGGAGCCCGACAGGCAGCCGACGACAATAGCACTGCGCGAATCTATCGAACATAGTTACGCGTTGCGAAACGAAGTCGGGGCAACGAAGTAGAATGACGGGGGACTTTTTCCTAAGTCGGGTGTGTCCGCCTACCCGATTCTGCCGAGGACATACCTGACTGAACGGCGTGTCTGCGACGTGACAAGTAACATACAATGATGTCGACTCTAGGGGTGGTGAGGCTTCTAGCGGTGGCCTGTCGGCTGTTACCCCAGTCGTTCCTAGTGAGAAGCGTACAGCTGATGCTAACGGTGCTGGAGCCGTAACGGAGACGAGGCGGTACGAAGGATGCAGAAATATGTGCAGTGTGTGGCAAGACCGCTTGACATCTGGCCAGCATTGCGGTTTTATTATTAGTGGATAATTATGAGTGGTGCAGTGATAGCGTTACTGTGCGTATAAACTGCTAGCGGGTAGCTGGCGCACGTTGTCGTCTTGCCGCTTCTTTTTTTTTTACCATGACTTATTATAACTGCCTCTACAACGACGAAACCTATGTGTCTTGATTCTCTCTCACTTTTTCTCACTCACTCTCTCTCTCTCTCTATATATATATACACCGATGAGCAGTGCGATCAGGCGGCATAAATGTTACCGACTCAGAAAAGCTCTACGTAGAGGTTGTCGTGCGTTTTCGAATGGACGGAACTTTGAGAAAATTCGCGCAGCAGAAAGACAGGCACGCAGTATGAAAATTACGCACAGAAAAATGTTATTTATTTTCCCATTGGTGCAGTGGCCGAATCACGTTGCAGTATAATTAATAGGAACAAGATAATTATTAATTATTGCTGCTAATCATTATTCATCTGTGATCAGCTATCCATCAAAGTGGAAAGTTGTTTCGTCATCAATATTGGATATACATATACTAAGGAATAGAAACAAAAAAGAGGCAAGGATAATATCGCGTTTCGGTTAATCGAGAGTTGGGTACGTGGATACGTAGAAATAAGACCAAGTTAATAATATTTTTGTTATTATTAATATATTTTTTTTATTTTCAACTGAGTTCCTGTGGTCGAGACGTGTAAAAGATTGTCAGGTCTGGCCTTCTAGTCGTGCCCACTTCGAGCACTGTGTCAAAAAAGAAAGGGACAATACATAAACAGATTGTGAGGACGCTGTACAAATGAAAAAATATAGGTCCCAGAAGAAAGCACTCGTACCACCAGTTGCTAGTTCTTATTTTTCTAACAGTAAGGGACACTTTTAGGGCCAGCTGAATAGTACGTTTTTTTTGTTAGTCATCTGATGCTCTTTAATGCACGTTGAACTCATTTGCTATGAAAGCAGGACATCTCCCAATGCAACAAAGTTTATTCGATAAACAAACAAAGATAGAGGGTCAGAGAAACGCTTAAAATATTTAAAAACCGAGGTGGCCAACGCTCGGACTCGAACACGGGCAGACGTAAAATACACCGTGTGATGACACTATTGACGCTGGCTCTAAAGGCTACTTTTTTCACTAACATGTCTCTGTTCACTTCTATTTGTTAAATGTAAATTGCATCAGAGAATTAAAGTCTACCGTGTCAACGGCGTTCGTATATAACTGTAACCGATTTTGTTTTTGATCGATCCAGTAAACAGGTTACAGGTTATTTTCGTGCAAATGTATTTAACAACATTTGTCTACGTCTCAGTCCATTCACAGTGACATGTAGCGTAAAATCTCACTTTCGAGTTAATTCTGCGACTTCCTGAACGCTGAGTGAGAAACGTAACTGACAGTAGGATACAGGAAACGATTTACTTACAAAACCTGCAACAATGGACCCAAGTGGCAAGCTAACATTCATCGCATAATTGACAAAATACGAGAGTTGAAATTAGCATATGGAGAGACGATTCACTGTCGAAATTAGGCAGCGTATGCTTCTGGCGTGGACAGCGGTGACACGCAGATACAATGATAAATAAATAACCGGACCAGCTGCTCAAGGCGTAGGTCGATGGCAATCTCAGTGAAATCGCTGGCAGATCTATACGCGCAACTTCCAATGGATATCCAGATCTTGGCTGATTTTGATTGTGCTAGGTCGACGCTCGAAGGCAGCAGCTGAAATCTTCGATGAAGTCCGATTTCGAGACGCTATGCCTTGTGATTTAGATTCCCTTACCAGTAACCATCAAGTCTTAATGTTGTCTTAGCATAGACATGTCATTAGCATATTCGAAGACTGGAATCATACAACATTGGCCGGAGACTGTTCTGTACGATAAATAATTAGCCTATAAGTGTAACGTCAATGTTTGTTTTACAGCCGACATCGTTACATGCTAAGGAGGGTAGTAGGTTTTCGTACAGCGTAGGACGCAAACTTTGGCCCTATTGCTAATATAAAGGCTGCGCTTTTATTTACCAAAAAATCATTGTTTCGCTATTGCATCATTGTGTTCCGCCGGATCGGACTGTTAGGTGAGTCTACCTGTGTCATCGAACAAACCCGAAACACAGACCCGCGTCGGTCTGGAACTGTTTTCAACTCTGACGAAAATACATCAACCCGAATATCGTTTCAAGCCCTAAAAGCTAGTCGTATTGGTTAACCTTAATAAAGGGGAAAGGGGTGTCCAATAGAGTTAAACAACAACAAAAAAAACTGCAATAATTATATAGATGAGGCAGCTAAATATATATAACTTCGCTATCGAAAATCAAGTATGGGGAAGCAACTCGTATCACGCCGTAATATCGGTAACTAGCACTGCCTCAACACGTTCGCTCCCCAGCAACCTAACTACATTGCTGGGACCGCTGACTGATTGGAACATCTATTCCAATAAGTGCTACTAGGCTCTATAGAGAAAAGAAATCGTAGCTAGTGGAAGAGCTTGAGAGCTATAGGCCGTCATGGCAGATGACCACCCTTATTTTATTGTCAATAGTGTCAACAGAGAGGAAAATCAAAACAAAACAGTTATATGATTAACATCATTGTTATTATCAAACCTAAATCCGAAAGGCAGAATACGCTATAACATGAACAACCAATACAAGGTCGACATTCGTCTCAACAGCAGTTGGCCATGTGATCAATGTCAAACACATAAAACTTTTTGATAGGTTCTGTTTTATTTCGAACGTGTAGAAATGAGCGAAATGATGTAGAACGATTAACTAAGAAGAAGGTGCTTTCGTTTGTATAGTTTTCAAGTGAAGCGAGGAGCGATCTTGTTCGATCTCAATGACGAACTCATATAGACATGCACGTGGCGGTTCCACCGTGCTGCTCACGAGAAATTCTCAGTAGCCAATGCGTTGTTATACGTTAAATGCGAGATCCGGCTATTGAAAAGGTACAGCAATAGCGAATAGCTTCTAAGATGTACGTATTTTACGAAAAGTAATTAGTTTCAGGCTATAGTCTTCAAGCTGTCGATGTTAGAATAAACATAATTAGCTGCTTACTTGAAAGATCCCGCTTTTCATTGGCCCACGAAGAAGATTTGCAAATAAAGTAGTCTTTATTTGTAGCAGACGCCACGAGCAGTGCCGATTAAAAGAAAGGCTTGCCAGGACGAACGTGTAATAACAGGAGCGCACTATCGTTTGCGGTCAATTTTAGCTGAAGTGAAAGCTGCCGGATTTTAAATTAAAAAAAAAAAAAAAAAGGAGAAACATAGTGAGGAACGATAGCATTGTATGCCGATGGAAGAGGGAGCAGACGTCACTTGGTGGCATACGCGTACAATACTTATACTAGCATACGGTATCTCAGCTCAAGACGACTAGATCAAAATGCCCAACTGCTTCGAAACGACTTGGCAATCCATAGTGAGATCATTTTAGAAGGTAATCATCTTAATAAATATTTGTTGGACTTTAAAGAATCATCTGCATTGAATCTATGGCATTCTTTTACAGAGTCTTGTAAACATTAGCGGCCAGTTTGAGGGTGAAGATGATGGTGTAATTTATTATAAGTAAACCTAACGTATCTACCTTCGTGTACAGTAATTGCCCGCTAAGTGTGTACCGACCCTATGAGACGAAAATGTTTGCCTGTCGAGTTGATTTAGGCGTAACGTCGTTGTATTTGGAGTCATTAGGTATTTTGTCCCAATCAGGTCGTGTACAAACCAATACAGTTCCGTGTAGGCATATTGTTAATAAAATCTGCAATAATAGCATTAACAACCACTTGATATTCACGTGGGATGGTAGCAGGGCTGTCAGGATAAAGCGGTCAACTGAATATTGCCACTTGTTCTATGTCTGCCCGTAAAACATCTGTATATCTGCTTGGGTCACTGTGACTGTTTGATCAGGTAGTATTTTGAATTGACTGAATACCTTGTGCTGTATTAAGTTAAGAAACATGCTTCAATTAATCTATTTAGAAGAAATTCAAATACCCACCGCCTAGTTAACTAGATTCGTTATTCCGCTCTGCGTTTACAGTTGTGTTAAGGTCCAAATTAAAATCTGTAGACGGCCGCGAATGGGAGTGGAACGCAATTTGTCCTAAGGGTATGCCAACCTTCAGTCTTATGGCTCTGTCTAATCATTTTAGATGGCAATTTGAAAAAGTTGTTTTTGAATGAGCGCGCGCATCAGGCCTCAGTTTTCAGCAGAGTTCATTTGACGCAGAGGAAAAAGCGTTCACCTGTAAGAACCGACATGCAGTTTATATAGAAAGCTCCCTTTTACCGTGTGGACCTTGTTTGACTTATGTGGTAGCCTATGTAAGTGGCGTTCTTATTCTGTACCGACTTGTTCTGTATGGCCCATAATAATGACTCTTCAAATACTAAATTATGTTTCGTTTTTAAATGAAGCACCCTTGCCATGATTGGTCGAACGTTATAGGAAACTTCTGTGTGTGTTGTTTGCATTTGCATACACGTCTGAATGTATGCGGCACGCATGTTCCTAAGCCCAGCCTTTACACGAAAATAGTATCAGATCATAGCTTCTATTAAAATTGATCGCAGCAAATAACTTTTCGTAGTTCCAGTCGAGGGATTTACAGTTGTCCGTAGTCAGCTAAACTACGCGTCATATATGGCAAAAGGACAGACGCTTTGGCCTTACAATTTATGACGTGATACCAATGCCAAACACTGAGTGTCATTTGGTATCTGTTGACATATTATTTTTCTATTGTGAGCCATTATCTTACGTTTACCATTCCTCTTCGGTTTTTTGGCACGGAAATACAGATTTATTATTCTTTAAGGACCAGATGACAACACCTTTTTCATCTGTCCTAGCCTAAAATAATGAAATGTAGTTTGCGATGTTGCGTTGTCGACCCAGACGTTCCGTAAACATGCAACTGGTTATTGACGCGATAGGCAGGAATAAAAAAGAGGAAAAACTTAGCTATTTCAATCTATGACATCGTTAAATAAAACAGAAAATACAAGTTGCGGTGATTCACCCGTTCAGGCCACCGCGTCGACATTAAACGGATAAAAGGTAAGGGGAAAAGCTATCCGCCTTGCATCGTTGGGGTCATAGATATTTTCATCAATTTCGATAACTGCGGGCTCATAGTATAAAGTCATGCATTCAGCAGACTGAATATATATATATATATATATATATATATAAGCAATGAATAGGTGTCAGGAGGTGCCTTTTGCAATTGCACATGTTCCATGCCCTTAGTCTCGTAAAAACGATACTTCGACTTTAAGAATGCTCCTGCTGCTGACCTGTTGTTCGAAAATACTTTCATATTACCGGATGAATAATTTATTACCACGTCTCGCTCTCTCTCCTATTGCAGTTTACTGCTGGAACAGTAATTTCACTATCTTTCCTAATAAAGCATCGCTAAAACCGGTAAACGCGCAAAACAGTAGCGGTTGTTTTTCTAATTGGAGAGCCGTGCAGCAGTCTTCATTAGGGTGTCCTAAATGATGGCCTGTTTTGTGGTCCTTGGAGAAGACGAAGGCATTACAAATACACTATTAGG